GAGGTAACTGAGCCCAAGGTAGACTAATAACAAAGTGTCCTAATTGTTTATTCAGAGGGAAAACTCTCAAGATTTTTTTTATATTCCAGATACTGTTATTGAACAAAAGAACAAAAGTATCTCCATCTCTAGACACATTACCTTTATGCGTTAGTGTCTATGCCTTCTGGTAATAACTTGGAAAAACTTATATATAAATAAAAATAAACCCCACTACATTAAGATCCAAGATAAAATAATTTTCAATATAACTACTTTAAAATGTAGATAATATACTATCATATAACCGTAAATCAATTAATTTTTAATATTCTCTTGTAGTTTGATTTCTTATTATGCTTACTAAGCAATGCTTATTGGTTTGTGACTCCTCAGTGTCCCGGCATAAACACCGTCCCCAAAGATTGTCATCGATGACCTTTCTTTGGTTTATAAAACAACAGACTCTCACCAGGTGTATCATTTCAGATGTAAATCTTGAAACTAGTATATTTGAAAATATTTGTTAATATGGCAAAATCACGAGTGAATGTTTTTCTTTCCAATTCGATTCCAATCATGTCATTAGGTTTTTTGAAAATAAAGTAATAAACCTATTTTCTTAAGTTTTATTAAGAAACGACTGACATATGTCACTGTCTAAGTTTGAGGTGTGCGGCATGATGGTTCTGGTTTACATCGTGTTATACATTCCATTCCATTATATTGTGAAACAGCTACCACCATAGGTTTAGGTAACATCCGTCATCTCACGTAGACATAATAAAAAGAAAAAGATTTCACCTTGTGATGAGAACTCTTAGGATTTGCCCTTAGCAGCTTGCCTTTGCAGCATACAGCAGTGTTAACTAAAACCTATTTTTAAACTGAAACAAAGTCAATTCACTATCTTTGTAGCAACTGAATAATGGACTCAGCCCAACCTATGAAAACCTTTGGCCTTGACTCTCCATCATTCACTGTCTGATCTGCCTAGACCTTTCTTATGAATTCCTACCTCTGTGCCTTTGAGTATTTACAGCGCCCGCATGCTTCATCAGATCTCTCGCTGAGCTGTGGATTTTACCCGCCCACTGCCGTCACTGCACCCTTGCATCTGGGCTGGTTCTGAGGCCACTGCAGAAGTGGGGCTGTGCCAGTCCTGGGTCATTAAGAGGGCTGGGCAGTTCTCTCTTCTCCCCTTTGGAACACAGATTCTCAACTTGCCCTCTTGAATCCCAGCCACCATGTTGTAAGAAACTCAGGCTGTGTGGTGAGGCCATGGAGAGGAGAGCTGAGGGGCCCCACTGACGCCCCGGGTGGTCCTCCCGCCAACAGTCAGTGTTAATTGCTACCCAACATGTGAGGGGGCATCTTGGCCCCACCTGATCACACCCCCAGCCCCAGCCCCAGCTCATAGAGCACAGCCACCAGCTTAGCCTTTTCGAATGCATGGGGTCTGGAGAGACAGTCAGATAGTTCCTTTTAACTCACGAAGTGCTCTGCTTGTCAGCATCCTCCTCCCAGGGCAGGGCTTGAGCCTGGCTCAGTTGAAGGTGAGTACACAGTTGAGTTTCTGTGCTTTTATTCCAATTCCCTTTATATTTTCCACTGGATTGTAAGTTACTCACGGTCCCAGTCGTTGCTCTGTTTTCTTGCCATGTGTTCCTGTAGCTGTTATAAATTGGTATGTATACTGACGTTTCATCTGGATTATCTGAGCCAAGGTTGCTGGTTGGTTTGTAAACAACCTAAAATATGAATTTTAGTTAGAAACGTTGTCGTCTGTTACAAATTTACATGTGGAATCGTTAAAAAAAATAGACTGAAGGGGGATTATGAAGGCAATTTATAAATAAGTAAGTAAATAAAGCATAGGAAAGGGGAAACAAGTGACTGTCTAGAGCTACACTGTACATACAGGGGTGAACATAAGGAATGTCACCTTCCAGTCTCTGCCTTGTGTTCTGCAGGGACTTCGAGTGGGAAGCAACAGTTACGCCCATTCTCTGTAACTAATCCTGTTCTGGGAGTGGGTGATGTTTGTAGGACCACTTACTAGTGGAAGAGAGATGAAACACTGTTCAGGTCAGACTCCTGGATTTCGCAGTGAGAATGATGGCGTGTCTATTTGTGATCCAGGACTTTTTTTTTTTTTTAAGGTATAAAGAAACAGGTATTTAAAATGTAAAGGATTGTTAATTTTTTAAAATTCCAAGTGCACTTTTGAGTTCTTTTACATTTTAATTGTTAATAACTCGATCTACAGGACAGAAGAGTATCCAATAGACTTAAATAATTCTCCAAAAATCCTGCCTTGAGGATCCCTCATCCCAGCAGACCTCTCCCTGCTATGCTGCTTCCCAGAATCCATATTTCTCTGCTTCAGAATCGCATTTGCTAAAAGAGCAAAAGGAGGTTAGACGATAACGCAGGGTACAGAAGGCAGCGTGTGTGTGTGTGTGTATGTGTGTGTGTGTGTGTGGGGGAGGTAACAAATTAAGTTCCCTGCTTTCCAGATTCCTGAATTGCAGCTGTGTAAAGCAGAAAGGGAACTGGTCTTTACGTAAACAACATATTCTAAAGAATATTTATTAAATGTATTTATATACTTTTTGGAAATGCAAGTAATTCACAAGAACAGTCATTGCAGCGCCAAGCTTTATTCCTGCAGGCACACAGTCAATACGCACTGTTCAGATGCATTTCTAAATGAGAACGTGACGAGCTGAAGGCATAACTCTTCACACACACATCCATGTCTTCATCAAGCGAGACTGGAGAGAGACAAGTGGGAGGCAGAGGCGGGGAGGAGACCAGGAGGGCGGGGGCAGAGAGAGAGAGAAGCGAGGGAGGAGAGACGAGGGGGAGAAAACACCGCTCTGGACCCAGCGTCGCATCCCGCCCAGCATGTGGGCATCACATCTAGTGCTAACAAAGAGGTGACCATGGCGTTTCCCTTCGCTTCTGCACTGGCTGACACAGCGCGCACCGCGTGCATGCTTGTCGCCTCATTCAAGTCCCCCTTCCTCCCGGAGTTCTGAGCCCCGGATCCCGGGAGTCCCCCTACTCGGTGCCAGGCACCCAGGTCCCCTGGACACGCGGCTGCAGGTTCGTGCGTGTGCGGTCAGGGGCGGTGGCGCATCTCGAGGCCGGGGAGAGGGAGGAGGCCCTCCCGCCCGAGCCCGAGCTCGACCCTTACCCGGCCGGGGTACCGTGCGGGGGGAGGGGGGGTGTGCGAGGTCAGAGGGACAGGTGGCCCCGTAGTGCCCAGGCGCGGGGCGGGGGAGGAGGGGGTGGCACCGCCAGTCTCACCCGACCCGGGCGTGTGCAGACCCAGGTAAGCCGCCCCCGGCTCCACGGCGTCGCTCCGGAAGCCGCTGCCCGAGCCGAGCCTCGGCCCGGCCTCGCTGCAGGTCCGGGTCCTCCTCCTGGACGCACCTGGCCGGGCGGCGGGACTCGGTCACCTCCGCGCCCGC